AAGGGTTATAATACGTAAATAATTTGACGAACCCCCGAGGGGGTTGCGAATAGCTGCTACATATTTCTTACATCATTTTTACCTATGGTTTGCAATATTAGCCCATCTGGGTTTAAGGTTGCTGAGATATGGGAGGTTGTCCGGAATTAAACTGGAGGCTGTTAACATAGAACTAAAACAGAATCGTTTTAAGCTCGAGAACGTTAACGATAATGAGTAATTACCTCGACAAGGTCGATCTCGTGCCTGGCGGGCACGGCAGCAATGACTTCTGGGATATCGAGCACGATGGCGGTGTCGATGCCGTGGATGACGACCTGAGGGCCGTCCTCTGATTGGCTGATGGCGTTCTCGGCGCCGGGCGGGGCGTTCGGGTCGTCCTCGTACTCCACCGTATACCGCAGCTTCCCACCGTACGACGTGATCTGGGGGAGAAGCCATACATTTACATTGATTTACGGTTAACGATTTTGTTTTGACGCTTGGTTGTTTTGTACCTTTATGTATTGTTTAATGTGTTGGTTTCATTGTTTTCATGTGTAACTTGTTGTCACAGGACATTCCTGAAAAGCAGTGTTTTTAAACAGCACTGAGGTCTCTACCCTGTTTAAATAAAACAGAAATAAATAAATAAATACATTATCTTCTATCTTCTAATACATTATGCTCTTTTGCTGGGCTGCCATCAAGCCTTCACGACGTACAGCTACATGCAAGTCTAATCTCCCAATGACTGGGAACAGCAGAAGGATTAACTGAGAGTAAGGGAGTGACATTGTTGGTGTTCTCTGCATACTCCACCGTGTACCGCAGCTTGCCGCCGTACGACGTGTACATTATCCTTCAGCCAGCATATATAATCCTCTTTTCATTTCTAACAAGTGCTTGTCTTCTCCCAGCTGATGAGTGTAGGGGCTCCCCTACTGTGATTTGGACCCCCTACAATGATTTTAACCATCATAGGGTGTTTCCTTTGGGGGCAAACCTTGTGACCCTTTATAAATCTGTTAAAAATTAGAATTCAAATTTAGAATAAAGCTTTAACAGAGAGAAAACAAAACTTTACGTATATCATCCCTAAACAGCGGAAATTGTGTCTAATAAGGTGATTTTAAATGAGTTTTAAAATTAAAACAGAAAACACATCTCTGATGTTTAAATAGACACTTTTAACTCTGAGTCTGATAACTCTGACCAAAAGGCTTCTCACCTTGTTGCCGAGGAAGTTATCGGGCAGGTTGAAGTAGACGGGTGAGAAGGGCAGCTCCTGGGCAGCGGATCTGGCATCCACCTCCACCTCGTTGTCCCTGATGGTGAGGCCGCGCTGGGTCTGCTGCGTCCGCCGGATGTTGCTCAGGAAGAAGTTGTTGTTGTCAGCATCAGGTGTCACCTGGCAATGGGGACAACACAACAAAGGCTTGGTGTTCTAGCCTGCCTGACGTAACATGTTGATACCTTGGCAATCTAAAATGCTATTTCCTGTACCCAGTGCTCCAATAAAAACTTGCCTGCATGGGACTTAATTATGGACTGCAAAACTCAACAGTCATGTCATGATCATAGGTTTGATTTCTTTACTTCAAGTTTACTTCAAGTTTTATTAATAAAATCAGCCTTGCAGCCAGTTTACAAAGTCGACCAAGCTGAATTACACTGATTTTTACAAATTTTGTACATAGTAGATACAAATACACATTTACATGACAATACATATACAGGCACGCAAACGAACCTGTTACAAAATCACACAATACACAAGGGCACTGAAGTAAAGTCCAGAGTCTTGAAAGTCATTGCTACAATGACTCGTTGTACAGGCGTATTGCCTTGTGTAGGAAAGAGTTTTTCAGTCTTTTGGTGCGGGCTGCTGGTACTGTGAGTGCAGCTCCATTTCTTAAGGTCCTCCCAGTGGCCGTTTTCCTAGCCGGTGGAACCAGGTCATGGAGGGGATGACCCTCGTCCAGCATGTTCTTCAGTAGTTTCTTGTTCTCTGTTGTGCTTTTGTACCACATTGTGATGGTCTGGATCAACACTGCTGCTGATAAGCGTGCAAGGCCAAACCTACACGCCCACCAACTGGTGCTCAACCTGTGGGCGAGGATTCCTGGTCTCATCAGCCACCCGTGGACCCACTGGCTGAGACAGTGATGAGCCAAGACCATTGGACAGTGAGGGACAAACAAGATGGTCTGTGCTCATGAGTCAAAAAGTTGTATCGAACCCCGTGCTTGGTATGCAAAAGATAAGAACCTGAGAAGGCTCCCCTACCTGTTCTGTGACGAGGTTGGCCTGCCTGCACTGGTCGGTGATGCCGAAGCAGAAACAACTGGTGCAGCCGTTTGGATTCTCCTCCTCCAGGTTAAAACTGCCCTCCTTACACAGCGTGCAGGACTTGCCTTCTACATTGGGCTGTACAAGGAAGGAGTAAAAATCGTAGTTAACGATCGGGTAAAGTCTATCTGTGACAACATACAAAGTTGGTCTCCAGGTTAAAACTGCCCTCCTTACACAGCGTGCAGGACTTGCCTTCTACGTTGGGCTGTAGGGAAAGAGTAACAAATCCTAGTTAACGATCGGGTAAAGTCTATCTGTGACAACATACAAAGTTGGTCTCCAGGTTAAAACTGCCCTCCTTACACAGCGTGCAGGACTTTCCCTCAACATTGGGCTGTAGGAAAGGAGTAAAAAGATAAATGATTAGGGGAAGTCTGTCTGTTAAAATGTAATGTTGCTGACTCTTTCTGGACAAGGCACAGTGTGACGGTCACATTACACGGAATATTAACTTGAATTGTGAAAATGAACCACTTCCATGTTTCTGTTTGCAGAAGTCAATCATTTCATCTTGTTCAAATATGAGAACTTTGGTACCAACGACAGTTAAACTCTAGAACAGTCTTTCGAGGGAGATTGCTAAGATCAGGGACAGACAAAGATTCAAACGTGAAGTTAATTCTTTCCTCAGCGCAAAACTTTGAAAGCGCTCTGTGTAGGCAGTCTGGCTGCTAATGCTAGTGAGAGCTGACATAGATAAAAAATATAAAAAATTCAGTTTGTGGTGTAAGATGTTGACACCATAGCAAATAGAATCCTGCCTTCCTTGTGCTGACTTGAGCTTCTCACGAATAAACAAAGGATACTTAATGAATAACAAACCTTGCACGAGCATGTCCCATTGTCGGCGCAGGCGCACACGTTGTTGGCGTTGCAGGTGTTTGGGTCCGTGCCCGCCTGGTTACAGGTGCACTCACGGCAGGTGGGGAAGTTGTGGTAACCAAACTGGCACATGTTGCACTGACGACCGCTGAAGTCTGCAAGGCACCTGGAACACGGGGAAGGAAGCGTTAAAACCTGAACAGGTGTTGGGGCCCGTTCCGGCCTGGTTACAGGTGCACTCACGGCAGGTGGGGAAGTTGTGGTAACCAAACTGGCACATGTTGCACTGACGCCCGCTGAAGTCATCAAGGCACCTGGAACACGGGGAAGGGAAGCGTTAAAAACTGAACTGGCAAGGATGCCCTCCTCCCACACATGTTCTTGTAAATATGAGAATATACTTAATTCACCTGTCTTGTCACAAAATCAGTAACTGTTGTTCATATTCCTGGCCCCCCTTTCAAAACATTCACGAATTTGACCTCCCGAACACTGGCCAAATGCCCCAAAACCATGGTTAGGAGTAGGTTGGGAGCAAAATCGGCTGGTGTTTGGTCAGGTCAGCTTCAGGTCAGCTGCATTAATGGAATGTTACATAATGTTTAAAACATTTTGTTGTGGACGGGAGGTTTGGCCATAGTTGACAGGTGGTTTGCTGCTGTTTGGGAGCAGGTCGGGGCGTTGTTAGTATTCAAACCGAAGTTCAGCCAACCTTGGTCAGTTGGAGTGCTCTCTCTGGTTGTCCAAAGTTTCCGATTATGACTTCAGTTGGAGTGCAGGAAGTCCTATTTACCCCTACTCCTCAAGGAGGCGGGGGAGGCCAGAAGATCCACACAGGTCTCAACCTAGCCTCGTGTTCTCGCAAGACTAGGTCATTTCGTGACCAAGGTGTACAGTAGACAACGAAAATTTGTATGTGATTTTACCTTACAAAAACAGTGACTAGAGTGAGTCACTGATTGAAGAATATTCTACTGAGTGCTGGAAGGTTCTGAATGTGTGACAGAAGCTTAACATGTGCACAACTGGTAGTACTCCTATTTTTATAAGGCTAGAAGAATTCCTATCATCCACTGACTTGCACTGTCCTGTGGTGAGATCGCAGTCGCTACCCTCAGAGCCGGTTGGGTCGCAGTCACAAGGCGTACAACCATTCAGTCATGTTTCTTATCGTTTATTTTTCCTATAGTTGTACCTACCACATGCACAACCACTACTATTAGTCCTATTTTTCATTGGCCTTAGTAAAAGAAGAAGAAATGCCAGTCTTATCATCAACTGACTTGCACTGTCCCAGGGACAGATTGCAGTCGCTTCCTGCACACTTTTTATTATCAATATTACTCTTTTAAGAAGTCCTCGCAAGAATACAAAAGAACAAGAAACATCCACTGACTTGCACTGTCCTGTGGTGAGATCACAGTCGCTTCCCTCGGAGCCAGTCGGGTCACAGTCGCACGGCGTGCAGCCGTTGAGTCCGTCCCAGCCGAAGGTCTGCGGCTTGCAGCTCTCACAGCGGATCCCGATGGTATTGGGCGGGCAGATGCAGTCTCCGGTCTGGTCGTCACAGAACCCGCCAGTACGCGAGCAGTCACAGGCTGTAGGACGGAACAAATTTTACAAAATTAGTTGGCTATGTTCCTCGTATTTTATCCTCTATTTTTCCTGCCTGCCGACGGTGTTGGGCGGGCAGATGCAGTCCCCGGTCTGGTCGTCACAGAACCCTCCCGTACGCGAGCAGTCACAGGCTGGGAAACAGCACAATAAAGTCAGAAAGTTTTAACTTTTAGAAAACAGCAGATTCTAACCTTTCGTCATGTTTAGAAACGGATGGAGTCCATTCATCACTTTCAAAGATTTTACTGAAACAACCAAACAGGGCTGTTTATGGTTGCTTGTTGGGACCGAAAATAATTTGTGTGACCCAAAAACATTCACAACATGAAAATCTATTTTTTAAAGCCGACAGATTTTCACTCAATAAAACATTTTGTTTCTGAGAGTTTCTGAAAGTTTCTGAATTTCACTTGGGGAGCATGCTCCAGGACCCCTTAGTTTTTCGAGGGCTCTTGCCCCCCCCCCAACAAGTGGGATGGACAAAAGTTTAAAGCTGGAGACAGCCCTGCATGTGGCGCTCAATACTACATTCACCATACAATAAAAACTATGCTAGTCAAGCCTAATTTAGACCTTCAATTCAAACAAGCTTCAAGTCAACATTGTTGTAATTTTCCTACCCTTGCACCCGTCCTCGGAGAAGCCGTAGAACCCGACATCGCAGCGGTCGCACTGCTTCCCACCGACACCGGACTTACAGCGACACTGCCCCTCCTCATCACACTGTGTGGTCAGGGAGCCGGTAACGTCACAGTTACATGCCTTACAGCCTTCTCCGGAGTCTATGCCGAAAAATCCAACCTGTAGGGACAAAAAGGCACAGTCTATCAGCGGCACTGTCCCTCCTCATCACACTGGGTGGTCAGCGAGCCAGTAACGTCACAGTTACACGCCTTACAGCCTTCTCCGGAGCCTATGCCGAAAAATCCAACCTGTAGGGACAAAAAGGCACAGTCTATCAGCGACACTGTCCCTCCTCATGACACTGTGTGGTCAGGGAGCCAGTAACGTCACAGTTACACGCCTTACAGCCTTCTCCGGAGTCTATGCTGAAAAATCCAACCTGTAGGAGTGAACAGGTACAATCAATCAATCAATCAATCAATCAGCAAGCCGGTAATGTCACAGTTACATGCCTTACAGCCTTCTCCGGAGTCTATGCCGAAAAATCCAACCTGTAGGCATAAAAGGTATAGTTGATCTATCAATCAAGCAATAAAAAATTAAAATTTTTCTTCGTTCTAAATTAACTGCAAAACGCTCAATGAAAGGCATATTTTGGCCCCAGTGGTTGATGGAAGTCCTTTTCTTCCTAGTTGTTAAAGTTTTCAATGTAACAATGCAATTTTGTTTCAATAAAAGTTCAAAATCAATCTATTGTTCTAATTATAAACCAGCCTGGTATGTTCACTTCATGGCTCATATTGTAACATTTCTGGCTATCCTTGGCCTGTTTTTTTTTTTTTTTTTTGCTCTGTCACTTCATATTTTTTCTGAAAATATCCAAGAAACAACAAATTAAATTGGTGTAGCCAAAGAAACAAATCTAAGGTTAGATGGTAACTTACAGCACACTGGTCGCAGTCCCGTCCCACCACATTAGGTCTGCAGCGGCACTGGCCAGAGTTCAGGTTACAGTCTTCCTCGTACGAACCGCGGGGGTGGCACAGACATCCTGTACAACAAACATAAACAAACAGCATTAAGCATTGCGCTTACTGTATCTTTAATGATAGGTTATAATCGTTAGACTGAAGGTAACTTTCAGCGGTACTGGCCAGAGTTCAGGTTACAGTCTTCCTCGTACGAACCGCGGGGGTGGCACAGACATCCTACAGATTAAAAAGATAAAGCAACAGCATTAAGCATTGTGCTTACTGTATCTGTAATGATAGGTAAGAATCATTAGAAGGTAACTGTCAAGTTTGCAGTACACGGTGGTCTAAAATGGCCTCAAAAATCCCCACTCATAGCTAATTAATATTATTGAAAATAAGATGTCAATCACACTTGTCACCATTGGCAACTGTTCATGATTGGTTGACACTTTTGTGGGCCGGCTCTAGGAATGTTTACCTTGCTGTTTGCCCCCTGCAAATTTTTCCCGCCAACTGTTCTATTCATATGCGCACTTCTCCAGATCCTAAATTGTTCTAATTTCACACATTCTAACAATACATAGCGTGGGTACAAGCTATGATCATTTTCTGGCCTGGTACACACACAGAACAATATCGTTTCTAACTCTCTGTGTAATTCAGTTGCGATGTAAGGTTACACAGGATGGTTAAACTCCTTACGTTGGCAGTTCTTGGCGTTGATGGCGTCTCCGAAGTACCCGTCCTCGCAGCGTTCGCACTCGTCCCCGGCCGTGTTGCCCACGCACTTCAGACACTCGCCGGTCACAGTGTTGCAGTTTCCCTCAGCCGCAGGGTCGATGTTCCCGTTACAGGTGCACTGCTTACACAGGTTCCCCACCTCCAGCGGGTTCCCAAAGTAACCATCTGCACATCTGGGAATTAAAAACAATTTAAAGTCAACTGGGTGGTAGAAACAAGGCAACAGAGACTCAACAACCGTATTAATTACAGGATATTTGGGTGGATGTTCCCATTACTTTGGGTTCCCGAAGTACCCATTCTGCACATCTGGGAGGGAGAAACAATGTAACATGAAGTCAATATCAGGATACGTTCACCAGAACATTGGAACAGAACCTGTATTCCATTGGAGTGAAGTTCAATTGTACTAATTGCCAAAAAGCGGTCAGATGTTTCAGCTAGTATCCACTAGCTTTTGTCAGTGAGAGACCAGAAGAGGGGAAATGCAGGTTTATAAGCACTAACTAGATTGTGACACTTACTTTTCACACTGGAATCCCTCGTATCCGGGTGGGCAGCGATCACAGAACACCCCTCCGTCCATGGCCACGCAGGTGGGACTGAAGTTGTTGGAGCTCTCCACCAGCGGACAGGCGCATCGGGAACAGTCGTCGGGCGTGCCCCTCGTGGCATCGCCGTAGTAACCAGGCGCGCACACCTCGCAGTTGCGTCCGGCCGTGTTGTGCAGGCAGGTCTGAACAAGGGAAGATTCCGACAGATACGACTGTTTCGTATCCACAAGAGAGGTTTGAAAAAAGAGGGTTTAGTTCGCACCACACTCTACTGGCGAGCAACTGTGACACCACCTGCGTTGTTGTTAGTTGTTGTTAGACGTCTAGTTGTCCTCACGGCACCAACATCACATCACAACCGTGAATAGTTTCATCAGGTTGGTTGGTTGGTAAGACATTGACGGAAGAGACTCTTTATCCACCACTAAGTATTTTATTCAGTCGACGTTTCGGTGACCATCTGTCACCTTCCACCTATGTAAATATTGTAGCAGCGACACCTGTGCTGCAGTGCAATGTGAACCAGTCAGAATTGCCCTGAGGAAGGTGACAGACGGTCACCAAAACGTCGGCTGAATAAAAGACTTGGTTGTGTAAAAAGAGTCTTTTTAATCATCACATCACAAGTTCTGCTTGTTGTTATCTTTTCATCCAAATACTAATCAGTGTTAATGGTGTGAGTTGTTTTAAAAATACATTTCACAAAGAACTGCAACTAGAATTAGCTTTTGCAAAGAATTACATCTGCGATTAGCTGCTACGACTAAGGTTTCAAACACCAGAAAAACACTGGTAAGTCACATACTTGTTCATAATCAAACTAAAGACAAGGTACAACAAAAAAAATTAAGACAGATTGTTGCACACTATTGAGGCAAGTTGCCTATATGTTACAAGAAAGTACCGAGATTACATTTTAGTTCGAAGTAGAGTATTATTCTACAGCCTATGTTTTTAAGTTTAGGGCACACTGCTGAACCATTATTTTCTATACACTGAAGCAAGAAAGACGATTACATTTTAGTAGAGTATTATTCTACAGCGTAGGCTTTTCCGTCTAAAACAGGGGCTAAACTAGTGACTACTCTCCAAGCAGAAAATTTGGTTTTGGGTTATTTTTGGAGCTTTTTAAAGCTTTTTCATCGGGCTTTCTTTCTTGCACTGGTATAATTTTTCCCGCCAACCCAAAAAGATACTGCGTAAAAAAAGATACCACTGCAAAAAAAGGAAGCCCGATAAAAAAGCCTAAAAACACGCAAAAAATAAGCCAAAAGCCAAACCTCTGCTTAGAGACTAAACTAGTGACTACTCTTACCAAACATGTGCCAGTGATGTCGTCGCACTCCTCAGCGTGGCCGTTGCACTGGCACGGTTCGCACTGTCCCCCGTACAGCTGCCCGTTCACGCGCCGGTAGCCCTTGATGCACCCCTCGCAGGACAGCCCGGTGTAGCCGATCGGGCACTGGCACTGCTCCACGTCGGACGCCAAAGCGGGGCCCACGGCGTCTGGGGAGGCCGACTCCATGCTGACGGAGCTCAGGCTGTGGGAAACAAAACATCAAGGTCATGTCCAAATACTACTATCACTTCATGATTGAATGTCCATGTCCTATTAGCCAACCCTGAATAGGCGAGCTGTAGGAAAGCAGCTTTGGACTAGTAGATACTTAAAAAGCATCAGTCAGATATACATTACGTTTCTCAATCACGCAATGTCAAGAATGCTAGGTAGCGAACCTGTGAACACTTGATCTTGTGTCTGCTAGTCTAACTACTGTTGACACTAACTACTGTTGACACTAACTACTGTTGACACTAACTACTGTTGACACTAACTACTGTTGACACTAACTACTGTTGACACTAACTACTGTTGACACTAACTACTGTTGACACTAACTACTGCTAACACTAACTACTGCTAACACTAACTACTGTTAACACTAACTACACTAACTAACCTGGTTGCCGAGGTACTCCCTGGGAGCACAGAATGCTAGAACAGCTAAGTTTTACCTTGACTCGATGGGGTTGGTGTTGTAGGTCGCCCTGATGAGCAGCTTGGTCACGTCGGCCAGCACTGTCATGAGCTCGGTACGCGAGATCCGTGCTCCGACTTACAACCTATGGGACTACCTTTACCAGCCTATGGGCCTATGGGACTACTTTTTCTTTTGATACATAATACAGTCTCCTTTGCTTTACCTTGACTCAATGGGGTTGGTGTTGTAGGTCGCCCTGATGAGCAGCTTGGTGACGTCGGCCAGGACGGTCATGAGTTCCGTACGCGAGATCCGTGCGCCGACGTTGAAGGCGGAGTTGGGGTCTGCGTACTCGCGCCAGCCGCTGGGTATCAGGTACACCGTCACGCTCTCCTCCACGCTCGGGGCGACCTGGCGGTTCTCCGTGTACGTGATGGTACGCCCATTACCCTGTAATGAAAGAAGGCTCCCGTTAAATGAAGGTAATTTTGTTAACAAGATCAAGTCACCTTAATGTCAACATGATGAGAACACCATTGATGAAAGATAACTTCAAACAGAAGTGGTACAATTTAAGTCAGAAGAAAAATAGCATCAAACAACATATCAGAGATTTCAGACTTCTGGAACTTGTGCAATCCTCTGTTTCCTTAGTGCACCCATGTCGACCACTAAGTCCTGATGGCTCCCAGCCAGATTCGGAGACTTCTGATCACCTAGAATTCTGCCTGTCAATCTTCTCCCCACGCACACATGCTGTTAACATACTCCAAACAATCCCACAGTTCAGCAAACTAAACAATACTTCTGTCACTCATTAACTCTCACTATCCGGTACCCAGATGCAAAGCATACACAATGCATTATGTAGCAATACATACTAAGAATGCAACCCTGTGTGTGTACAATGTCTGCAAGTATGTAGTATTATACAACAAGTACATGTATGCAAGTCACAACAAGTTCGAACAAGATGCAGACACACACACAGATGAGACATATAAAAGACTTAGAAATGCAGCAAAGAAAGAAGAAATGTGGAAGACAGTAAAGAAGGATGGAAGACCGTTATCCTTCTTCTAAGGTGCGGAGTTTGCCCCAAGTTCTGGCTCCTCCTCGAGTCCTGGTTTCTTAGGCTCGCAATTCTTAAGTTCTGGTTTCTTGGGTTCCCATTTCTTCTGGAGTCGCGGCTCAGAAGACCGAAGAAAAACTCGTCCTCGGGAGAGAGGTACGTGGATCGCGGCGCCCGGCGGGAGAGAGGCCAGCCCCAGCGTCGCACGATCGGCCGCGACTGGCCCTCCGTCGGCGTCACGTACCGGGAGTTGATCTGGTCGTACCGACGGCGCTGCGAGTCTGTCGTCTTGTAGATTATCCTTCTACCCCCTCCCTGGTTAGATAGTGTGGGGTGTGCAGGGAAACACACACAGATGGAAGAACGGATGGATGGATGGATAGAAAGAGTGAAGGAAAGAGTAGACACAAAGGTTAGCAGAGAACTAGAAAAGTATGGCAGATTTGATCTCCAAGCAGATCACACAGTGGCAATGCAGTATCCATTAGCCAGAGGAGTGTCTATTAGCCATCCAGTGACCAATGGATACTGCCTGGTCAATTTGATACTGTCTGTTTGGAGATTATGGCAGACAGAGGAGGAAATGTACATGTAAAAGCTGAGTTTGAGTGAAGACAGTAAACGAAAAAAGCTGATTCAACAGTTGGAAAACAAACATTCAGTGAATGAAGAAAACTGGAAAAAAAGCAAGGTCTAGTTACTGTATGAAACCTCACAACTGAAGCCTGGATGCCAGACTATTGTGAGGGCCAGTACACAGGGCCCTCAGTTGTCGCCCATAGTCTAAGTAAGACTTAGTAAAGGGTGTTAGGGGCATGTTGGCCCTGGAGCCAAAGAGCTTTCCTGTACACTGGACCTGGAAAAAGTCTGGCACCCAGGCTAGACAATTGTGGAAACTAAAATACACCTAATAAGAAGTTTATTCTTCTATCTCAAAAGGGGGTACTAGTGTGTCAAGTTGTAAGAACAGAAACTGTTCATGTTTGATGAACATACATGTACATTCTTTGTTAAAGCCTCACCTCCATAATGACATCGATGTCCACAGTAGGTCTGGCTGAGGGATCTCCACTGTCACCTCTGTCCTGGGTCCTGTAGGACACAGCGTACCGCAGGACACCTCCATAGGACTCCAGCTGGGGAATAAACATGTGTCAGTACTGGCCAAGATTGCCTATCAAACTACTGTTAACACTAACTACTGTTAACACTAACTACTGTTAACACTAACTACTGTTAACACTAACTACTGTTAACACTAACCTGATTGCCGAGGTACTCCCTGGGACCGCTCCAGTAGTACAGACTGCCCAGGTCCCTGGCTGTTAACACTAACTACTGTTAACACTAACTGCTGTTAACACTAACTACTGTTAACACCAACTGCTGTTAACACTAACTACTGTCAACACTAACTACTGTTACCTGATTGCCGAGGTACTCCCTGGGAGCGCTCCAGTAGTACAGACTGCCCAGGTCCCTGGCTGCCTCATAGTGTGGCACGGTGATGCGGTTATAGCCATCGTCCCTGGGGTACACAAACCTGTCGCCCTGGGGAGCCTTCACCGTCCAACCCTGCATGGTGGCGATCTGGGGGGAGGGGATGGTTAGTGAATGAATGAATGATATTTATTGCATGTTATTGTCCACATGGTCTAAATGCATTAGCTACACTATTGCAACAGAGTCTAAAATACAATTACTCATAGTGTTGAGTGTAAACAAAACTAAGCATATAAAGTTTCCAAATAAACTTTATAAATATAATTTATTATGATTTTCATCAGTATCATAGACATTCTAGACCTATGGTTTACAAACCAGTTTAACATATACTAAGTGAGCTGCTGCATTCTAGAAAAAAAAAAGCAGAAGGACCTGCTTGGCTAAAACTTACACATTCTAAAGACAGTTAAACCTGCATAAGTGACCACCAGACTAATGTGACCACTTTTTGGTGGTCCCCTTACCTAATCTTTCCAATTGACATGAGTAGTTGTTTTTAAAAATTGAAGATTTACCTATTCCCTGTTCAAGGACACACTCTGGCAGTGGTTGGTGATGTCAAAGCAGAGGAAGGGCTGGCAGCCGTACGGGTTGTTCTGCAGATTGTAGAGCAACCTTCCCATTTCCCACTAACTTCCCACCCATCCTGAACAGTACAAAGGTTCTAAAGGAAAAACCGATGGTTCCTTTAAACGTACCTGTTCCCTGTACCAGGGCACGCTCTGGCACTGGTTGGTGACATCGAAGCAGAAGCAGGGCTGGCAGCCGTACGGGTTGTTCTCCTGAAGGTTGTAGAACCCAGCCTTGCAGCGGTCGCAGAACTGACCCTCAACATTGTCCTGTAGGCAGCGGAATTAAGAGTTACTAACTATCGAAATCATAGACATTCTAGAGCACCTGTCCTCTCATGTTTCCTGGAAACTCCTGCAATTAAATGTGCAAAGATTGAGTGTAACAAGTCGTTCGGTGTGATATAGCTAGGTTCCGCCGCACCGCATTCCTGTGAAGCTGGTGTATGCCTGTGAAGGGCGGTTATAACGGCTATACTGATACAGCACAACGGTTCTAAGAGAAAAAGCAGAAGCAGGGCTGGCAGCCGTAGGGGTTGTTCTCCTGCAGGTTGTAGAACCCAGCCTTGCAGCAGTCACAGAACTGACCCTCAACATTGTCCTGGAGAAACGGTGGAATAAGAGTTACTATCAAGATCATAGATATTCAAGAGCACCTGTCAAGGAGTGGACCGGTCAAACAGCCAACCAGATGCAGCCTTCTCAAAACAAGCCGGCAACAGGCGAAAATCACCGCCTACTCAAATTTTTACGCCGCCTACTTTCGTGTAAATTTAAGAAAAAAATTGTAGTCTCCATTACAAACCCCTTCATGGCTCGCCTGCTACTTTCTTATTTCAGCCACCTACTCTAAACTTTTGTGAGAAGGCTGAGATGGCCAGACTGGCAGAAGATCGCCAGCAGTGGAAGACCTTGGCCAAACAGCATGCTGCCGCAACGACTGACTAAGCTATGGGAGAGAGCGAGTGTCTTTTAGTGTGCTGATTTGCAATCGACTTTTTCCTGGCAACTTTCCACAGCACAACGGTTCTAAGAGAAAAAGCAGAAGCAGGGCTGGCAGCCGTACGGGTTGTTCTCTTGTAAGTTGTAAAACCCAGCCTTGCAGCGGTCACAGAACTGACCCTCAACATTGTCCTCTTAACAGTGGGTTAAGTGTTTGCAGATTTAAATTTTGCGAGTGATCACATTCAAGAGCACTTGTCTTCCTCTGTCCTTTGCCATACTTGCAGGAGGACAAAAGATACTTGGCTGCTAATTTTTCATCTGCTGTCTCCTGCCAAAATCACATTCCTGCTAATATCACAAAACCCCCTGATCATTACAAACATGGGCCAATATCCCCCCAAATGAAAATCAGAAAGATCCATAGGCTAGACATCTCTTTACTGTAGTACATTAGTATCTGTGTGTTCCCTTGCAATTAGCCTTTGGGCATGAGTTTCAAATAAATAAATAAATGAAATCTATACAAGGAAAAATCACATTTTACAAAACTATTCTGAAACTTAAGTGGTATTGTAAATTGTCCATTAATTTTGCACAAGACAGTAAACTGTGTAAGGAAATTTGTCTTGAGTGTTCGTCTAAGAGGCCTTACCTTGCAGATGCATGGACCAATGCAGACATCTTCGTTCACACTGCCAGCCACACTACAGTCGCACGGCTCACAGTTGGGGTAACCGGTGTAGCCCCGGGCACAGCGGTCGCACCTCGGGCCACCGAACCCAGGTCTGCAGTAGCACTGCCCTGGCTCCTGCAACAGGTAAAAAAACACATCATTAAAATACATAAGGAAAGAACAATGTTAGCAAGGCTCACAGGTAGTCTGTGTAGACACGGGCACAACGATCGCACCTCGGGCCACCGAACCTGGGCCTGCATTAGCACTGACCTGGCTCCTGCAACAAGTAAAAATATATACTGTGAGAACAATGCAAGGCTTTCAGTTGGGGTAACCCGTGTAGCCCCGGGCACAGCAGTCACACCTCGAGCCACCAAACCCTGGCTCCTAGAACAAGTAAAACAAGAAAATTATCGTTTCACACCTCTGTTTAGTATTTAGGGTTGTTTTGAATTTCTTGTTCTAGTTATTGGTTTGAATTTCTCACTTATTCCGTGAATATTCAAGTGTGTCACTCCCTTCCCAGCCCTCCAGACCATTTTGACTGTGTTTCTTCCTTCTACTTTCTGTGACTACTGTATAACTACGGACACAGTAGTAGTAAGGAATTCCTAAGTCTCGCAAGACCATGAACTACAAGCAAATGTGGGGTCGTGTGCCGTAGTGGCAGAGTGCTCGACTCGGAACCAAGAGGTCTTGTGCCCTTGGGAAAGGTACTTAACACGACTTTCCTTACTTCACTCAGGTACAAATGAGTATTGTATTGTCCCGTGTTGGTGGCGGCATTAATATAAGTTGAAAAAACTTGAGTGTGCCATCACCACGTCTTGTGATTTTCATGTTGGAATAAAAAAAAACTACAAGCAAATAAACAGACATAACAAAAGCAAACTAACAACCGTAGGGCCTTTACTATTTTCAATATTTCATCATTACTGAGGTAAACAATGAGGATATGAAACTTTCGAAGTATGGAGTCCATCTTACCAAGCCCTCTGCAATCCTGGTGTCATCCTTCACACACTGGCCCCTCCTGCTGGGGTCTTCACCGATAGGGTTACACTGGCATTCTGGAAGGAACAAGCAACACAAACAATTGTAAGGTTATGGTTTTACAAAGTACTTATGCTCTTATACTCCCTTGAGTGGCCTGAACAAGACAATACATGATTGTACTTATTCATGCCACTTCACACTATCATGTCAGCACTGTTCTGGGGATGTGTGTTTTTTCAATGATGGAGAAGATCTATCTATTCCAACACTAGTCTTTTTACCTTATGATAACAACACTTTGTAATGCAGTTAAGGACTAACACAATACTGTGTTTTTCTTTCAATGATACATTTTGTCATTAGATTTGGTTCTAACTACTTAATATGATAAGAACTCTTTGTGATGCAGTACAAGGACTAATCATAAGGAAATCTAACTCTCAATGAATGAGGGATCTTCCTTCCATGAATGCTGACATAAGCTGATGGAAGAAACTGACCTCTGCAAGGGTTGGGATCGTCCCTAGGAATGCCTGCTGGCCTGTAGAAACCATCGATGCACTGTTCACAGTTGTTACCCATGGTGTTAGCCTGGAACAACCAACAACAACATTAAAGTTGTACCTTCAGAAAAATAACCTAGCTTGCGCAAGACAGTCGTTTCCCAAATCCACAGTCACACAGAGTTAGAGAGTCAAAACCAGGTTAACAATGCTGTCTTCAATGATGCTATCTTGAGGAATGCAAGGAAGTTTCTGACCAGCCCTATTCTGACCAGCCCTATTTATATGTCACCTAGAGTTTGGCGCTGTTTTTGTCATGGCCCGGTGCGGGTAGACATCAGAAATACCTGCACAGCTCCAATTTTAGTCCTGTCTTTTCCTCCATCACATTCAACTTAGTATGTTCACACATATACTACCAAGTTTAGAAGAAAAAAGAAGTGCCCCCTACCCTGCAGTTCTGGCAGACGCCGCCGCCCTCGTAGGTGCCGAGGATGTTGATGCTCTCCCTGCGGTCTGCCACGCCCTGATCGTAAACACACTCGTCCGCGTGCCCGAAACACTGGCAGGCTGTGGAGACACACAACAATAACAGTAAACAACTGGTAAATAAATAATGTAAATAAACAAACAAACAATGCTCTCCCGGCGGTCAGCGACACCCTGGTCATACACACACTCATCAGCGTGGCCAAAACACTGACAGGCTGGGGAGAGACAGGTACAACATTTATTCATAACGTAACAGTACAACATACAACAGTATACAACATTCATAGTTAACAACTGGTTGTACACACACTCGTCAGCGTGGCCGAAACACTGGCAGGCTGGGAAGACAAACAACAACAACAGTAAACAACTGGTCGTACACGTAAACAAACAAACAAACAAACAACACTCTCCCTGTGGTCCCTGGTCGTAAACGCACTCGTCAGCGTGCCCAAAACACTGGCAGGCTGGGGAGACACGGGTACAACATTTACTCTGGTCATTCTGTTTCACTAGACACTGTAAGAATACTTGAAACCGAATGAGACTACTTCCTGCTTCAACATTATCACTTACCAGATACCTTTGACCCAGTGTTGACGTCACACTTCAAAGAAACCACGTGACAAGCTTCACTGGGTCAGTCTACTGAGGAAAACCAGAGTGACTGGTCGAAAGCTCTAGGTGAGATCAATCTGTTGTGTTGGCACAAAATTTTAAACTTGAAACATGTAACCTGCATCTTGTTTTGTCTGACCCTGACCTCTAGCCTTAAAATCTCGTACCTTCGCACTCGTTGCTGCTCTCTGCTGTTCCCGGTTGCCATGGTTTCTGGTTGAAGAGTGGACAGCAGCGTTCACAGCTCTCCCCACAGGTATTATGCTCACACTGGCACCGCAGGGTCTGCAAAGAGGTACAAACTTTACTAAAGCTGATGTACTGAATGTTAGTGTAACGATAGCAAAAATATTGGTTTGTTGCTGGTAGCTTCTAGCAGAGTTGATGTTGTCTAACCTAGAAATTACATCTTGCCAAATATATCAAGGTACAGGATAAAGTCTCTGAAGAGCCAAACATTTCAGAAAGCATCAATTCTGTTACGTGCATCTTTCATCAGTGACTGAGACATGGTTCAAGTCTTGAGTCTCAAAACAGATAATTAATCCTGTTGCTTGGTTTCTTTTGTATTACTCAATGTCCTACATCATGGATACCTAACCTTCATCAATGCAATTCTTAAAGACCAGTATTAGTGTACATGCTGATTGAGTCTTGTATGGTGTTTAGTTTTACAATGCTTACCTGTGCACCAGGGACTTGTGGGCAGACCTTGGCGTGACCGAAACAGATACACTGTCCTCCCACAGACACGTCTTTGATGGAGTAGAAGTACTGTGGACGAAAATGATATGGAATATACAATATATGAAAAGCAATAACAAGGATGCTGGATGAGAATGAAATTTACAATCACATTATGAAAAACTTAAACTTTTTCTCCAACTCAAAATTTGACTCACCAGAAATTTTTGACTGAGAGTCTTCCTCAGCTATCTGACCCAAATGCTGTGGACACGTGATTTTTCCCACCTGTGACGTCAGCAAAGGGTCAAAGCTTGTCTGAAGTGGGAAAAATCACGTGTCCACAACCTCTTTGGGTCAGATAGCTGAGGAAGATCGAAAATTTCTGGTGAGTCAAATTTTGAGTTGGAGAAAAAGTTTTTCATAATGTAATTTACCAACTCAGATGAACTTTCATGCTGAAATGCACAAAAATACCAATTTGGTGGCTTTTCCTTGGCCCTACCCTTCTAGTGACTAAAAGGACATATATAGAGAAGAAAGGAGTGCTGGATGACAATCAAAATCAAAATTTTCGTATCACACAAAAGTACCAATTTGCTGGAGTTTTTCCTTTGCTAAGGCCACACTGCCTTAATTTTATGGATGACATCCTCTGAAGACCCCTAAACTAGTGCGTGCGGGCAAATAAAAAAAAATTCCTGCCAAAAAACAAAAATGCTACTAAATCACAGGAATACAAAGCTGGTATTGTGAATTTATAGTACATAGCGACGTATAAGACAAGCCAGCTTTTTTGTGGAATTTATGAATCGGCACTGTACGTATGTGCTGAATTCGCGAGTCGTGGAGCTTCGGCAGCCTGGATGCCATCCTCCAGAGTTACCACCGGTTCCATATTGTCGCTAGCTACCATGGACTACCCAGGCCTAGAGCCAAGCCAGAGCCTCGGAGGACATGATCTGTTTTTTTTTTTTTTTTGAGAACAGGCAAAAATCAATGCGTGCGCGGATGTCATCCATAAAATTAAGTCGGTAAAATTGTAGGCCTTACCCTTCTGGTGACGAAGGCATCGATGGTGTCGGGTCGCTGGGAGCTCAGGGTCATAAGGTCAGCGTTGAGGGTGCGGATCCTCTGGAGGCGCAGGCGGATGTAACGGGCTGACGTAAACTCCTGTGGGAGGCACAGCACACATCGGATTATTACTACAATGTATTACCTTTGCCTAGAGTTGTTGGTAGCATTTGCACATGTATGTATGTATGTATGTGGTTTGGCAACATACATGCAGCTCAGGAAGCTATAGATGGGTTGTCAAGAAATTTAGTAGGTGGGTACATCTTGACCTATTGAAGAAATGGCTAGCTTTTGGCCCCCTAGTAGCTTTTCTTAGTACTGCAGCAGAACATCCAGCCTTGATATCTTGTGTGTTTATCTGAATGCACATGGTCTTTATTACAGGTATGTAAAATACAGGCACCTTTTGCCATTTGATAACCAGTATTCATATAAAAGGTAGGGATGGGAAGATTTTAACATAGTTTATGAAAGATGGAAGAACACTTCATATCATAGCCATAGGGGTCAGACTCAGAGATGACCAAAGTCTAGCTTTACTGACTTACGGCAAATCACACACATCGGTTGAAATAACAACAAGTTATGCCTTACCCTGAGGGTGTCTGAGGGGTTGTCAACACTGGGACGGCCGTTGATGAGCGAGACGTGAATCTGTGGACAGAAGTCATGTAGGTTTAGAAGTGTTTACAGTACAATGAAAAATTCAATTGCTTACAGCCAAAGAACTGCACTTCTTTAATATTGTATGTGAAACACGAAATAACTAAGTCATTAAAAGATGTTATTAATTATAAGTCATTAATTTATTTATTCATTTATTTATTTATTTTTTATTTCCGTCATTTTTATACAGGGTAACCCAATTCAGTGATGGCACTGCTTTTCAACGGGGCCCTGTATTACACAGCACAGTACAACAATCACATACAAATAATAACATTAACATACAAAAATTATACAATAAATAATTATAATGGCAATGATAATAACGAAAACAATAAATAAATTATAATGGCAATGATAATAACGAAAACACAGTAATTAACCAATAACAGTAATAAATAGTAATAATAACAAAAAATACATCATTGTCCAGTCCAGTCATTGTCATTGTCCAGTCCTATATGTTGGCATGGAGGGGTCAGAGGTCAGGCCAATTCTT